TATTGAATTAACTGTTCAGATTGGAATGAATCAGCATATCCACTTGGGTAATGCACTTTATGAACGATATGTAACACAGGAAAAATTTCTTGGAAAGTCGTTGAACTATTGGGAGGTGAGTAATTCGGTTCAATTCATTCGGTTGATCACAACTACTTAACTGGAATCAATCATCTGATGATCTGAATATTAACAGTGAACTAAACATTTTGATGATTCATGTGAATCGCAGAATTCAAGTGAATAGGCTCTTTGGAACTTCAAGTGACCATTTCATTGAAGCTTCAAGCTTCTCACACTTGCTCTTGGGCCCACCTAGCTGATGCTCTTCATTCAGATGTACATTCGATCAACTGATGTCAATCGAACACTAATCTCTGCCTACTCAAATTTAATTGGTATGTACTACGGCCGAACAGAGGCTGTGCCAAACAAAAATTATCCTAATAATACGCGATGGCCTGGGCAACTGGTGCCTTTTCCAGTTCACAGCGTAGCTAGAGATACAGATTATGTAAGTAATTGCCTCAAGATTCTTTGTTGGTTACACGGGTAAATCGCTCTCGCGCTCACTTGTACGTTTTATCGACGCTTCTCATACTGATCTGCAATGTTAAGCAATGTTTTCAAGTGAAAAGCTTTTATCCGGGTATACAACACTGAGATCAGTTCATTTCATCAGAGTTATATACGCCTTTAGAAGCTCCGAAAAACATTTCTCAGAAGATTGCATCTTATTTAAGATTATTACCTTAGAAATACACCTCTCACGATACAAAAGATCTACATCAACTGTCGCAAAAAGAAGAACCTTTGAGTTTCTGAATTGGGAAAATTTTCCAACAACACCTTAGAAATGAAATAGAGAATAAATCTTCGTTCACTGAATTTAAGGCCGGTGATCCGCTAGCTCCGAATTGTCCAAGACTTTATTGGTTGCTGGATAAATCGAAGGAAACACCTGAATATATCAAACTCCGCAAGGATAATCAGGTAGGATTGCTACCGGAAGAGTCTCTCTCGTAACACTGAATGCAGAGGAAGCACCTGAAGTCTGGGAGTTTTTCTTCGGTTTGGCACTCACTTGAAGTAGCATATATAGATCAGATGGAACGCTTTGCAGAAATTCCTCGATTGGCTTACAGAAGTGTGCGGTGAGGAGGTGGACTTGATACGATTGTGGGACATACGTGATGCCACATTCATTGAGGTACACTGATCTTCTGCCCTGATCATATCTACGAAGACGCTTTCCTAGCTCTCGCGTCTAGTGGAATTGGATTTCCTCGCGTGTTAACCTCATCCCTGATGTTTGACCAGCGTTCGTTGGGGAGCATTTACTTGGCTAGTAAAGGGGTAAGAGGGGGGGGGAGGGGAGGATCTCGGCAGAAACCGAGTTCTCTGATTATGTCTGCGCATGATTACGAGTTCGCTTACACCCAAAAACATTGATCAAGCCTCGTGGTCATGAAGTGATTCCTTTGTCATTCATATCAAACATCGTAAGATTCATGAATTGAAGTTGTAATTTCGATGCATCAATCAGTGCTTTGGAAAACATAAATTCGAATTCGTTTCCAGACTTAGACCAAGGTTCTGTCCCGTTCAATGAAAAGAAGTATTTGCTAAAGAAAAAACTTTTTTTTCACATTATATTGTCAAAAGTTCAGCCAAATTTCAGAGGTTGTACAATATGAAAACACCCTTCGACAATTCGACGTATCAGAAGATGGCGGAAATCGACGATAAAGTTGCGGTTATTGAAGACGGATTAGGTGACCTCTGAAATATTTGTTAGATTTGCTCCTCCTTGTAATTTCATCCAACTGATCAATGAGTTCGTACGAGGAGATCGATTAATATTTACAACTGGAATCATTTTACACTTACCGAATCTTGTTGATCCAACTACTGATTCAGTTTCTGAACATTTTTAAATTTTGTAGGCTTAACGCCTGTTGATGGAATTGATTTTGCAATTGAAACGCCGAAGGTGAAAGGAGGTCCGATGCTCTGGACAATGCTGGACAATTTCGATTTGAAGGTGATTATGAGTAGCAACGTTCCACTGAAATATTCA